GTCAATAACTTTTGTATCAAACTTTAGATTATAATTCAAATTTTAGTACTATACATTACTCAATTTCTTAATTTAAAAGCAAATATTAAATAAACATTGATTTTTGTGTGTCACTTGGTGTGTTGAATGCAGCACTGGTTCATATTAGATGTTTGTGAAGCCAAAATACTAAGTCTGTAGTTTTGTATGAATTGGAAACTCAAATTACCGATATTGACAAGCTAGAATATGAAATAAGAGCCTCTTATCTTTTCAATTTGCTAAGATATTGCTCATGTAATAAGTCAAACATAGTGGCACCCTGCCCACCTCTTTCCATTTTTGGAAATGCTCCCTTATATACATTTACTTCTATATATGACATGAATAACCAATCGGAAGCTCAAAATGTCCCCCTAGTGACTTTGTCAGCCATTTTAATGGGCTTGCCATTTTTTTTTTGATAAATTATATTTGAATTCTATGGTATTCATATAGTAATTTATGATTTTTTAGTTATTCAAATGTATATATAAGACCTAAAAAAAATTATTTTGTTTCATATCTTCAATGTGCAAAATTTGTAAAAGCTTAGCAACCTATGTCAAGCAGTAACCGAGGCAAAAGTCGTAACTAGAAGAGATAATTGTTTTCTTTACTTCTATATTTCCTGTTCTATGTTTTAAGAGAAATATGTTTAAGAACTTATTTCAAAATAACAATAATCTATATATATATATAATGTATAATAATTGAAATGTAACTGAATTTTACAAAACACATTCAAGACAAGTTACTTTGTACAGACCAAAGGTCAGTATTATGTTATTTGATATGGTAACATAAGTGCACATGAGCCACATCATTGTATTGTATTGTTAGCCAGGCACAGCTGAAAGGTCAATATAATAGATATATATAAATGTATAATGTTATGAGATTTAAGCTATTTAGTCTAAACATTTATGTTTTCATGTTATAATTTGTGTTCATTCAAGAATGAAGGAAGCATAATTTATGTTTATTTCCTGATTTTTTTTATGGTAATTACGAGATCAGTTAAATCAACCAAAACTGTACAGAGATTTGTTACTGAAAATAACGGATAAAATATAGTTTTTTTTCTTAAGAACATTTGATAACTATCTGGACATTATAAAGATTTCGATTGGACTTAATAAAAAAATTAATATTTGCGTATGAAAGCATTGTAATGTTTACTGATAATAAGCTAAATTTCATTAACATTCGCATACTAATTTAAAACTATAACTAGCACAAAATGGTTATGAGGTCAGTCCCAGGGACTGAGCCCATAAAAGAGTTAAGTACTTCTCGCACCTTCTTCCACAGCACTTATCTTTTCCTCTCCCTTAACCAATTCTTTCTTACTCAGACTTCGACAGCTCGGGAGGTACACAATGATTAATTCTGTCTTATTTCTCTTTCTTCTGTCTCATGCCTATTGAACCACTTGCACCTGGCTTGATTCTCGTGTCTTGTTGGACTGTTCAATTACAGACCTCTTCCTTTAAAGGTACCCTCCTTTGTCTGTTCCTATCCTGGGACCTCTTTTTTTTTTCCATGGAGCTCTTTCCTTCTTCCCTTACAGGATTGGTGCATCGACTCCTCTGTTGATATGTTGGTATTGGGGTGTGGAATCTCACGTGCTATTTCCCTTTTCTTCGCATTCAAGTCCTTATGTTTTTGTTAGCTTACATTCTCTTCTTCAATGGGTTTTACAAGCTTCTCCAGGCAAGCATGTGGACTCTCTCCATACATTCATCTCCTGCTCTACACCTTCTGACTGTTTTGTCTCCTGTTGGTTTTCAGCTTTCATAGGCCACCATTCTTCTGTCACTCCACTGTCTTTGAGAACAATACATACTATTTCTCTTCCTGGGCCCCCTTCTTTCAATACATAGGATCCTACCAGGTGCCTCCCAAGATAAACTTACCCAAAATCTGCATCAAGCCAGGATAACAGAAAGTGCTCATACCCTCCACCCTGGCTCTACATGTGCGTAGTGTGAAATAGTGTGTTCTGCAATACTACTGTGCTGAATATAGTACCATTCGTCTTTACACAATTAAACAAACTGTTGCCAAGCAACTTGAATTTCAATTCATCTGGAAAGACCATAAGTTTTCAGCTTTCCTGTTTGTGATGTCCATTCAGCTTGGTTAGCTCTTTTCACAGTAGTTTTTGAGCAGTTGTAGTATATGTTATTTAACATTCACTCCTGTATATGCAGCAAGGTTATTGATAAGATGTATATTCGACCATCATATGTCTAAAGACATACCTATAGATACTTAACTTTTTTTATTTCAACCATGACCACTTCTGTTAACAATACCAGTTTTATGTATTCTCTTCAGTCTTGCATATTGTTCCAAATAAAGCATCGAGTATGGTTGCAACTTTTCAATCAAGCAACCTTGATTAATTTAAACTTTTATTTTTACCCACCTCACATGTGGTATTTCATTCCTGGAGTCCATGTCTGTTTCCACTGGGAATAGAATGACCATCCCTACCTTTACAGGCTTTATACTGGTGTTACTGTTTGTGATTAGTTGGATGACAGCCAAGTACAGTGTCAAATATCGACATGGGATTATGCACAAAGTATTTCAAATATACATGTTTTAATATGTATGTAATTTATGTTATTGGAGACGTACCTATATATATATATGTATATCTGTAATTTATGTTATTTTTTAGTTCTACATAACATGTGCAAAGAGAGAATTGATTGGATTTGAGCAAAAATGACAGTTTCTTGTGCATCATAATGGTTTGACAAGTTTCAGTGTCTTCAAGTGTGTTTGTGAAACTTAACCATTATGGTTAGATTATTGACAAAGTTGAGTTTGTTAGTAAAATGTAACCACCATGGTTGGATGATTGACAAAATCTACAATGTTGAGAGGTTGTTAGTAAAACTTAACCATGATGGTTAGATCATTGACAATGTCTACAATGTTGAGAGTTTGTTAGTAAAACTTAACCATCATAGTTAGATGATTGACAATATTTACAATATTGAGATTTTGTTAGTAAAACTTAACCATCATGGTTAGATGATTGACAGTATCTACAATGTTGAGAGTTTGTTAGTAAAACTTAACCATTATGGTTAGATAATTGACAATATCTACAACGTTGAGAGTTTCTAGTAAAAATTTTACAATTATGCTTATGCTAAGTAAGCTTTTGTAAAATGAATGTAATATGTTGAGAAGTTTAACTTGGATTTAAATGTAAAATACTTTTTTTAAAATTTTGAATAATTTTGATATAAAGTAGTTCTAAAATATGTATTAAATAAAATAAATGTGATACATTTACACACACATATATTTTCATAGATATTGCTTATGGAATGTTTTGCTTCACAATTAGGGACGGAGGAGTGGAGTAAGGGAAACACCACCTCGTAGAGTATCCAAACGTATTCAACAAGCGTAAGTTTAATTGGTTAAGCTTTCTGTGTGGCACCATTTACTTTATAAATATGAACAATTTTTAACCTGTTTTGTCTTTAATCTTGGTATAAAGAATTACATCCTCAGAATGTAAATGTACATACGTTCATTAGAAGATGTTAGAAATATTGAAGTGTATAGTATTTCTTTACAGCTTAAAGAAGAAAGCCAGTGCTGCATTCATGAAATATTCACCATCGGTTGACACAGCTTTTGGTTAGTGATGTTTTTTATGTTTAATCTAGTTATGGGTCAGTATGTAAAAGTGTGGTTGTAATTATACTTAGCTTAATGTTAATCAGAAAGTTACATTTTATATATCAGTGCAGTTACAAATTGACTTATATTTATTAAAATAGTTACATTTTATATATCCATGCAGTTACTACTTGACTTATATTAATTAACATAGTTACATTTTATATGTCCATGCAGTTACAACTTCACTTATATTAATTAACATAGTTACATCTTATATACCGTTGCAGTTACAACTTCATTTATATTAATTAACATAGTTACATTTATTATATCCATGCAGTTACAACTTCACTTATATTAATTAACATAGTTACATTTAATATATCCATGCAGTTACAACTACACTTATATTTATCTAAGGTTGTAACTGAAGTAGTAGTTGTTTAATTTATGTAAAGCTGTATTTCTGAGGTAATAATTGTTTAATTTATGTAAAGTTGTAACTCTTAAGTAGTAGTTGTTTAATTTATGTAAAGCTGTATTTCTGAAGTAATAGTTGTTTAATTTATGTAAAGTTGTCACTGAAGTAGTAGTTGTTTAATTTATGTAAAGTTGTCACTGAAGTAGTAGTTGTTTAATTTATGTAAAGTTGTCACTCAAGTAGTAGTTGTTTAATTTATGTAAAGTTGTCACTCAAGTAGTAGTTGTTTAATTTATGTAAAGTTGTAACTCTTAAGTAGTAGTTGTTTAATTTATGTAAAGTTGTCACTCAAGTAGTAGTTGTTTAATTTATGTAAAGTTGTCACTCAAGTAGTAGTTGTTTAATTTATGTAAAGTTGTAACTCTTAAGTAGTAGTTGTTTAATTTATGTAAAGCTGTATTTCTGAAGTAATAGTTGTTTAATTTATGTAAAGCTGTACTTCTGAAGTAATAATTGTTTAATTTATGTAAAGTTGTAACTCTTAAGTAATAGTTTAATTTATGTAAAGTTGTCACTGAAGTAGTAGTTGCTTAATTTATGTACAGTTGTATTTCTGAAGTAGTAGTTGTTTAATTTATGTACAGTTGCATCTCTAAATTAGTAGTTGTAAAGTTGTAACTGAAGTAGTAGTTGTTTAATTTATGTACAGTTGTATTTCTGAAGTAGTAGTTGTTTAATTTATGTACAGTTGTATCTCTGAAGTAGTAGTTGTTTAATTTATGTAAAGTTGTAACTGAAGTAGTAGTTGTTTAATTTATGTTAAGATATATTTCTGAAGTAGTCGAGCTTTAATTTATGCACAGTTGTATCTCTGAAGTAGTAGTTGTTTAATTTATGTAAAGTTGTAACTGAAGTAGTAGTTGCTTAATTTATGTACAGTTGTATTTCTGAAGTAGTAGTTGTTTAATTTATGTACAGTTGCATCTCTAAATTAGTAGTTGTTTAATTTATGTACAGTTGTATTTCTGAAGTTGTAGTTGTTTAATTTATGTACAGTTGCATCTCTAAATTAGTAGTTGTTTAATTGTTGTAAAGTTGTTACTCTGAAGTTTTAGTCATGTAATCTAGTTTTCAAAAGAGTGGTAGTTTGTGATTTAAAGAAAATTGTCAGGAATTTCTTTAAATGAATTAAAAATTTGCTCATAGATAAGGAAATGAAACTAATTTAATATTGTTAACACTTTGTTTTAGACTTTATTGTTTAGCAGAATATTTATTTGATACACCACAGGTCAGCGATTTCATCCTTCTTTGCTTCCTGAAATGAAAGATGAAATTCTGGATCAAGAAATTGAAAGCTATTTAACCTCAGTAACGGCACTCTACAAACTGATGCAAGTAAGGAAGTATTTGCTTTCAAAGTTTAAGTAGAACTGAACTTTTTTGTTCTCATTCTGCAAAATTTTCTTTCTCTCATATTTATTTAGTTGATTAAAATTTGATGCTATGTATATACAAAATTTACATATTAAAGTGTAACTGTATATAAAGAAGTAAAACCAGTAACCCTAAGAAAAACCAAAACCAAAGAAACTTAATATGTGTACGTATGTGTTAAAACATGCATCGTGTGTTAGAAAGTGGGATGACATGTTTAAAGGTTTACAGGATGGATAATTTAAAATGTTTAGTCATTTGTAACTTGTATACTTTAAAATATTAGATAGTTTACATATTGCATAGTTTAGAAATGTTTACTCACTTCTTCACATAATATCTTGTACCATTGCCATGAAGGCTTTTGTGCATGCTCCAAGCTTCGAACAAAGTTCTCACCCCAAAAGTATTAACATGTATTGTGCCAGCTTATGATATAATCACCAGTAGGAAGGATGGAGACACATCCTCTATTTGCTGTAATCTCCATGAGCATTAGCATTATTTCCTCAGCACTACTTTGTTCAGATGTGTTTTTCTTAGGAAATAACAGCATTATTTTATATATGTGCACTTATTAGCAGAGACCCACAAAACATTTGTGGTCAAATTAGTATCTTTATTGCAACAATACTTCTTTAAATTCAGGATTTTTAGAATGATAACAAATAATTCTAACTTCAGACACTGAAATCTAGAAGTCCATTTGTCTTAGGCATAACATTAGTTTAGCCTTTATTAGGACTGACTGTTGAAGATCATAGAGATAATTCACTTCTAGTGAAAACTCTTTTTGCACATTTACAGGCAGTCTATGGGCTGCACAGGTGTTTTCCTATGGACATTCCTTATCTTATTTTCTGCACTCAAGCTCCTGTTTCTCCTCCTTTGATTGTTTTTCATCTCCTCAAACCTCATAAGTTTTCAGCACCCAGAGGAGGCTGTGTCTTCCTTATGGGTTAGAAATGCCATAAAATAGCCTCAAGCCCTCTCAGGATTTTTATTCTCATCTTTTTGTCATTCCAGAGATGTCAGGACATTGGTGACCTGTTATGGGTCTCTCATCTTTGAACCAACTTTTTCACCATTCCACTGTTCAAGACAATTAGTTTTCTCAGTCTGAGGTGGATAACCAAAGTCAATGTTTGGGATACTTTTCTCCATGTCCTGATTTGTCTGTCTAAATGTAGCTTTTTCTTGTTCACCCATGATGCTCATATTTTTCAGTTCTGGGCCCTTCCCTTAGGATTTGCAATGGCCCTGTACATTTTCAATCAGGTCATAAAATAAATGCATTTGCATGAAAGATTCCTTTGTTGGGTCTCCATTTTCACTGCTATATGTCTACTGGCTTCTTGTTGAGGCCAAAGAAATATCCATGACTTCGACACTCTTCCCATTTAAGAGGCTTCATGATTGTGTTGGCTGATCAAGTTCTTCAAGTCCTTCATAACCCCCACTCAGTCTTTCATTCACATGGGAGTCTTTTTCAACTTGATTGAGGATCAAGCTCAACCATCTTATTTTGTGTCTTTGAGTCATAGGGCTTCTGATTTCCAAAGCTCTCATCACCTTCTCTTACTGCATGAAAAGTTCAATCTCTTTTGGGAACTCTGGTTTCACCTGAGTCCCTTGTTCCTTTCGGATATACCCATATGTATCTCTTCAGTGGAACCTGGCATATCATTGAGATATATTCAGAGATTCAATGCCATTTCTTGTATATCTCCCCCACATCTATTCACTTGCTGTCATGGTGGCTCAGTCAATCTCACACGACACTGGGCATCCATTTTTCCCCACCCAGACATGCATTTGTTCACTGATGACTCTTTTTCTCAGTGGGGGCATTTCTGGACATCTACATTCTTTCCAGGGTATGATCTTCAAGAAAGTATTCCCTTTCTATCCATGCACTCATAACTGTTAGTTGCTGTAATTTCTTTTCAGGGACGTTATGCTACTATATTAAGAGTAAAAATTTTCAGTTTTGTGTTTTCTACTCATAATATTAGTTGCTGGTCAAGCTTAACATCATCTTCAGTCTCATCTTTTTGTTCATCTTGTGTTGATTTATTCAGACAACTCCACTGTCATGTCTCACATCAACTGACAGGTAGGCATTCAATCTTGGGACCTCTGTTTTCTCACTCTAGATTTTCTTTTTCAGGCCTACAACCAGTACATTTGGCTATTGGCCTGTGATGTTCTGGGAGTTTTGAATCTGGTGGCAGATATTCTGTCTTGTTTCAACCAGAATGTTTTTTTTTATATAGTGGTCTCTCAACCCTCAATGGTACTTCAATGGATTTGTTCTCCCATTTTGGGAGTCCTTCCATCAGTACCAAGTTTCCTGTTTTCTGCTAACCAAATCCAGACTCTGCTGCTCTAACAGTAAATGCTCTGGACCAGGATTGGATCAATCTCTGTCTTTTTACCTGGCTTTTCAAGAGTAGTTTACCTGCTTCTAAAATAGCAGGCAACAGTGTGGCTTTGACTGCAATCTTCTATTTTTTCCCCTACCATTCTTCTTTTCTTTCTGTGGTTCTTATTAGCCCTTTACAAGTTTTTCTTATTAGTTATCTTTCTCATCCAGTTTTTCTTCTGAATGGACCCTGTGTTTTGTTTTCTTGGCCCTCATGTATCCCCTGTTAAAACCTTTGGCTTTCTGTTCCCTGTATCATCTTTTTTTCTTCTTCTTGCTTATGTGAGACATTGATCTGACATTTTTGCCTTAGACATATTCTATCCACTTTATCTTAGGGATAGGCTGATTTTATTCCTAGACTGCTCCTTTCTTTCAAAGGCTTGGGCTGCTTGGGGGAGCAGTTAGATGTTTTCTTCAATCATTCTCCCTTTCATTTCTTTGCTTTATGTTTGTTCTCAATCCAATCATCTTCTATGCCATGTTTGGTAGTTTGGTCAGTCATACTGTTCCAATACATGACCTTTGTCATAACCTTTTCTTGCTGTGGGATTCCTCTTCTTTTTGTGACTTGTCACCTTCTGTTTTGACTGACTGAGTTTGTCAACTCATCTGGTTTGTTTAATCTTCCATAGTAGAGGATGTATGTCAACTTTATTGGATAGCCTCCTATCAGGTTTGATATCTCATGGCTTCTCTTGCATCTCAACATCAGTATCTGCTAGATAAGATTTACAAGTGTAGACTTAGACAATGCCTGACAAATTATTTTCCCTTGCACCAAAGGGAGGTTTCATCTGTGCCTGCTGTCCACAGTTGTGGTAACACATTGCACAATCTATCAGTGTGGGATCTTATGTAGATGTGATGTTTTCTGTTCAGTCTAAGAACCTCTCCAGTGTTCTCCCCATGCAAGTTCCTCCCTCTTGTTCTCTTCTAGTGGAGCTTGAGAGACACCCTCTCTCCCTAGTCCCAAGCTGCTTTGGGAGGGTCAATATAGAAAGTTCTCCATTGGGTTGGTGAAATCTCACTGGGTGCAACCCTTGATAAGAAGTAGGGCTGGGGTGTTACCTGAAAGAGTAGTACAGGCCACCATACTACACTGTAAACCAAGCCATTTCTTGTGGTTAAACCAGCCTGATAGGTCTTGTGTTGTCCTTGGGATGCAGGTCTGGAATATTTTCTCCGTACACCTGATTATTTCTGATACATATCTCATGTAAGTATTTCTCCAACATGAAACAGTCTGTCTCATTTCCCTAGCCATTCTTAACACTCAAACTCAGCTAACTGTCTGAGTAAGACATCCCAGTCATCTTGGTGACTGTTACAAAACTTTGCCAATTCCTGACCCAGTATCCAATTGTACTTTTTTACCATCCCCTCGGACTGTGGATGAAGTGGCATTGTCCTGGTCTTTCGTATGCCAAACAACTTG